TCCGCGTGCCTCAACAGGCTGTGAGTGTGTGAGTGAGTGACCATAAGCCGAATCTGGGAGCGTGTGTAACATCACCTGGCTGGGTGTAAGGAGGGCTCTTGGAAATGTGCCCACCTGGATTTCAAGTGTGGAACCACTGAACCTCCAGGGCAGGAGCAATGTAGTGGCTATGGTCATCCAAGAGGCTCTGAGGGCTTTCAGGCTTTCAGAGGTGCTGCTGTGCAGATAACCAGATATAAGGTCTTGTTTGTGAAGTTGGGCTCTAGGGATCAGATGGGTTTGCTGCTACTGTACCTGCCTTCCTATTGCATAGCAGCTAACCTACCTAAGCTGCTTTATGCTATGATTAATGGTGGAGTTCCTCAGACTTATAGACTTATAGTACTGCTGCAGAGTCAGAGACAGCTCACAAGTTCATGACCACCATGGGCTTGTCATAGAATACTAATCTTAAAGAAAGCTTTGTTCTACTCATACCCCCACGCTCTGCAAAATATGGACCCCAATGAATGAACTACAGAATTCCTACCAGGGATATCTTAAAAATTTCCCTACACAATATGCTTTTAAAAACCCAAATTTGTAGCTTATAGCAAAATATTTCCGCTCTTCTTCTTCTTCTCTTCTTCCATTTTTCTTTCCTCTTCTTTGTTTGGGAACCTTAGTTACAGCCCAACTTGCAGTTATATTTTCCACTAGGAGCTATCCGTGGTGCTGCAAACACTAACCTGTCCTATTGGTTGTTCAAGCCAGAATTTTCCTTCAGCAAAAGGAAAAAGAGCCGGATTATTTGCATTTTAATTCCCTCCAGTACTCCTACTACTACTTTTTTTTTTGTTTAAAAATTAAAAACTGGGGTCAAGGGGCTTGAAAAGCCTTTTCTTATTTTTTCTTTGATTTTGGCAAAAATCCAAGGAGCCCTCCTTGCCACAGGGCACACTTGCATTAACATTTTCAACCTGATAGATCTCTGTACGGTTTGTAATAGATCAACAAGGGTTTCTTACATCTAATTGACTAACAATACAACTAAACAAAATTCACTACCCACAGTTGGTTCTGATTCTAATCACAAATTACTGGATGGAGCATGTTCACAGAACATTTTAATACTTTGCAGATATTTACCTGCTTAAGTATCTGTGGCTCCAGTTTGTAATCTTCATGGTTCTGGACAAACTGTTGGACATACTTAGATTGGAAGCTTGGGAAGTCTGTTCTCAACAACAACAAAGTTGATTCATAGCCCATGTCTGTTGGTTGGATGTGAGAGGGAAAGACTACTTGCTGAAGAGAAACAGAAATTGGACTCACATAGTATGCTTAATTAGGTTACTTAGACTTGATACATTAAACTTTAAAACTTGGGTAGTGTTTGTGTGGCCTGTTTATCTTATGATCCACTGTATTATATGAACTTAGAAAATGAGTGAATTCATCAAGCAAGTTGAGATGTGCTACTCCATCTGAAATATTGTACAACTGAACAACCTGGTCATTTCTGGATTGAGATTGGAACCCCTGCAATCACCACCCAAAGTAACTTGTGTTTACTTTAAGGTTGCTTACTCTAATTCAGCTAGTGTGTCATTCGAATCTAGAAAGAAGAGTTAAGTACTACTAAGTACTTCCTGGAAGTAACAACAGATCCAATTGCCTGAACTGCCCAAACAGGGCCAGAGACCTAGAGCCTGCCATTCCTGGTAACACCATCCGCTTGTGAGAGATACGGCAGACTATTTTCTCAGGAGGATGGTAGGCACTTTATTAATGGAAAAGATGCAGAGATGTTTTTGGAATAACAGATCATTCTGACCTGTTGCCACACCAACTAAAAATGGTATAGTCTGGGTCCAAACAGGTACAGACGAAAATTGTTTTGTGGAAAGAGAGACATATAGGTCAAGGCAAAAACAAAAAACAACTGAGCTGGAGGTGAAAGCCTACAGCACTTGAGCTTTTAATTTAGAATATCTTTCAACATCTTTTACAATTGATCCAAATTCCTTGGACTTATGGGAGCTATAGTTCAGTAACCCGATTGGTCTTATGTATCTATGTGATTACCTGCTTTTACAGAGATTAGCTGCCCTCAAAGAAGTCCATTGTAGGCTGTTCTGGAAGAGGATTATTTTAAACCCCCCCCCCCCCACACACACACACAACAAGAGTGTTAGTAATAGAGGACGTCT